GCATATCCGAGTTCTCTACAAAGCAAGTTTCGTTGTACAGGACTCAGCACATTGACAATTTGCGCTGCTCGTTACTGGCTGCCGCAGCACATTGACAATTTGCGCTGCTCGTTACTGGCTGCCGCACTCACTACGACCCCCCCCCTCTCCTGGCGGCCAAATACGACCCCCCTGTTGGGGATTCCCCAACCAACGATGTGCCCTGGTCCTCTGGCCCTGGAAGTGATCCCTTCCCGGTCCAGTCTTAGCAGAGCAAGAGACGACCAGAGTGCCCTACCTTCGGGCCACAAAAGAATAGGCCAGAGCCGAGAAGCGTCATACTGCGCTCTGCACTTCTTGTCCAGTGCCCTGCCTATCCCAGCCCTCACCTGACGTCTCCAAGACAATCAAACAAACAGGCTCAGCAGGTAATTTAAAACAGCCGCTTTCATAGATTATGCGGCAACAGACGAATAAAATCCAGCAAGGGACTCGTCATGGGTCGTGTAAGTCACTTATGCTGAAGAAAATAGTTCCTTATGCTTCGTGTTTTAGGGCATTAAGCAGTTAGAACCGGCAGGATGTCACGCGGTAGCGCTACTGTTATGCTCGCAATCCTCGAGATGCGGTAGGCGTGGCTGCGTGCTTCGACTAAGTGTGGCGGTGGCTGTGCTTTTGGTGAGATGCTCAGCTGTGTCAGGGTATGTCTCTTGAAACGCTGAACAAAAATAACCATTTAAGCTGAGATCCTACGAGTAACCCATTCTATGCCATGTTCAAGTGCCACGCCTACTCCGTCTCAGATATAGGAGTGTACCACGTCACACGTGTTTCGCCTTGACCTTTCACCCTATTGGAAGTGGCGTACATACCATTCTAAGACTTTGGAAATAAATGGCAATGCAAGAGAGGATACTATAGACAACGCGGTATAGTCACTTTGTCTGGTGGCACACCCCTTAACGTTCCCTCCTCCAACTACCAACTAGTACCTTTGGCCCGTGTTTCATACTGCGTGGGTAGATCCTCTGCTGAAGAGGAATTTTTCCATTTATGAAGGACCAGTGAGCTCCGAAATTTCGAACCCCTATGGAAAAGTGATCATCCCACTTATTATGAGGCCTAGTACAAGTTTCCTACACACTTTACAGCATCATGCTTGTAGCAAGAACAAATTCATATGGAACGAGTTTTCGTAAACGTCACACTTTGGAATCGTTCGGTTATATTTTTCTTATTATTTTCCTCGGCGTAACACCCGTTCTCGGAAATAGTTTATGAGTCGAATGATAGTTTTTGGGACTGTACAAAAGCTGGTTACGTGAAATAGCAGTCAAGAAAGGCTGGATGAAGACGACAAAGGACACTTATTGCTAAAAAGTGTGCAAAAGAACATCTGATGGATTCGGGAATGGGCTTCTTCAGTGGGGCGTCTGGAAGGATGACAGCTCCTTCAAATCACGTGTGAAATATTTGAAACTGGCATGTAGAATTCTCAGTTGTCATGGATCGGACGCTGCATAGACAAGAGAGCCCAGAAGAGTGCGGAAAATGTGCTCTGGGGGGGGGCGAGCAGAGGGAGAGGGGACCAGAACACTTATTGTAGCCCTAAAGTCAAGCAACAAGGACGGCTATGATGGTATATAAAGGACTCATTATACACAAATAGGGAATTAAATATGCTCTTGACTGAGGCGTTAATATAGGTAAGAGGGTCCCAGTCATCATCCCTATGAGATATGAGATTGCGTGTGAAGGGGTGTGGATTTGAACGCAGTTATGGTAGTCGTTCCCACTAATTGTTGCCGCTCGGAGCTGCATTGATTGGTGGAAAAGTCTGCTGCGGCTGCGTTCTATCCCATATCCCGATTGCGAAATTGTTCAATCAATTTCAATTGTTCATTCAAAACTACATCAAAATTCAGTGTTAAAGAAAAAAAAGAGCTCAGGATCAGATAAACATGAGAAACAAAGAGAAGGGATTGAATTCAGAAAGAAAAAACATAAAGGAGGCCGGCGTTCGGTACAGCTGTAGCGCTACAAGTCTGAACGCTTGCCTTAGTTATAGATGGCTGACACACTTTATTATAATCAATCGGATTGCCCGGTGGGTTCTCCCTCCTTACTTTCTTCAATAAGAACCAGTCGGATCGCCCGGCTTCGCCGGGCGACTTAAAGCGTGCTGAGTGGATATTCCCTCTTACCTTTTTTATTGAGGCCAGTCGATTTTTTGCAAATTTGTTGGACCCAAGCACATTTATTCCAAAGGCACAACCAGTCCCCTTATTAGGCCTGTCGTGCGATACCACGACTTCTGACATACTCAGGGCACACATATACAGGGGGGCCAAAAAAAAGTCATTCCGGCCGAGTCACATATGAGCGAAGTTTTCGCAGCCCAGACAGAGGAAGTGGATATGAGTACCAGGGCGGAAGATACCCAAGATCTTCCTCTATAAGCAGGAGCCGGCTGCCGCCATTCACCTTCATGTACACCAAAATATGAAGTCATCTCCAGTCGCGGCCTGAGTGGAGAACGCCTTTGGAATTCACGTGGCCTCCAAACAGCTGCGGAACTTCTTGAATGGAATCACCCATGGATAGCTACCTGGAGACCAGTACTCTTGATCTGCAAGACCTCAAACATCGAAGCAGCTCCGGCAACGGTCGCTACCGGGTCCGGACAGGACTTCATCTTCACCCCATTCCGAAGCGCGGCGTTGATTGATGGTGTGGACCGGCTCGTACCTGGGATGGAGTGAACCGTTTGTTGTTTTATTCTTCTGTGGGCCCCAGACTGAGGGTGTGCGCTGGTGGCTACAGCAACTCGAGGAGAATATCCCATCTTCATGTCGTCGCCCGTACCTTCTTGGAAACTTTGTACTGCTACAGGATTGGGTGACAACACATTTAATCGAAGGGCGTTGGAAAAACTTTCGCCTACTTGGAATGGAAAAGAACGTTGACAGTACCTGGAAAGATGGGCTATTGAAGCGGAGGTCCTGAACCATAAACCCCTCCATTGCCCCTCGGTCTGGCGGAGCTTCAACAGGGTGCGTTGTACAGTGGCGGCAGAAATCACGATCTCGCTCAACTCCAGGCTGACTTTTTTTTTGCCCCCCCTGTATTCTCTATAGATGTGTCTATAATCGATAATGTATAACCTCGTCATCCGGGCAGTTGATTAGGGCGGTCGTCAACGGGCCGCAGCGCGTGCCAGGAACTATTTGCTTTTCCAGGCTAATTTAGTCATTTTTTCCACCTTGTGAAGATAAGGAGCTGCTCTGGGAAAAAGTAGCCAAAACAGTGAAAAGTTGGAAAAAATGACTAAATTAGCCTGGAAAAAGCAAATAGTTCCTGGCACGCGCTGCGGCCCGTTGACGACCGCCCTAATCAACTGCCCGGATGACGAGGGTAATGCTAGCACGAGCGTTGTGAATTTATTAGCAATTCCTTCGTTCTTTTGTATGTTTATTCTCGGACCACGTCTATTATACGCGTTGTGTTTTTTACAATGGCACGTTCGAGAGATAATTCTACCACCGATACTGTGGTCAGGTTTGCGTGCATCTGGCCTGTTCCTAAGAAGCGATTTTCATGAACCACCAGGTTTGCATGGTGGCTCACCACAAGCGCGCAGACAGACCATTTCTGTTGACCATCTCCCTGAGAGAGGGAAGTACTCTGTCCACGGTAAACAGTTTTGAAATTTCCGTATAGGCGTGTGTGGTACGTCGGTATCGGATAAATAGTGCACGGAACTGAAGTGGGAATATTTGCCTAAATGCTGCGCAATAAATAGTAGGTAAACAAATCAATAGATATTGCTTTACGGGCCTCTGATTTTGGCCCTCATTCACTGAAACACATACCCTGTTCACTGTGTCCGTGCCATTCTTATGAGCATGGGAACCGAACTATGAACTATCTCAGGCGTCAGCAACTGTTTGGTACGCAACACACTCCCTACGGATGTCTCTCCTTCACTTCATCTGTCAACTCGTTGCTCAGTTTTACTCATATTCCTCATTTCCTTGGCTGCTCCGGATGCGTTCCGAGAATTTTTAAACTGGACACCATTCAAACGCCCTGCTCATTGTGGGCGGAGCGTAACTTGCTTGTGCTGAGCAAATGTTGGACCATGTCACACCTTTTCCGAGCACAATCAGTCCCCTAATCGGTCCCCTAAAAATGAACTTTCACGAGCTGCCAGTTTCCAGGCGGTCAGACCCACAGACACACAAACAGCTTCTGGTTTGTATACAGAGATATAACTGCAGTTTAGCGCAGCAGCCCACGCCGCTCTCGGTGGGACTCGAACTTGAGGTTGCAGGTCAGAGTCCTGCCAAGGGGCAATACTCATATGCATAAATCAGCATTCTTGCGATAAATATTATTCATTTTTCAAATGTAGACGTAACAAACGATATAACAAGCTTTATTATTCAGTGAATAACTGTACAGGTTCATTGCACGACAATCTAGCGCTACTTATCGCTATTCGAAGCAGACTAGTTGGTAAGCTTAGAGCTACAAAGTTAAGCTGCTCAAAGTGAAGAAAGACCTTATGTTGACAAACAAGAGCGACTGAATTCATTATTCGGCCAGAACAATTGATTTTAAATACGTACACTTCGTTCAGGACAGATTCGAGCCTTCAGACTCCTACGGATTCCTGTCAAAGAAAGGTGGTGTATTTCACGGCACAATCGTCATTGAAGGAAGGGGGGGGGGAGGAGAACACAAGGCAGCACCTCTATGTGACTTCCGCAAACCAAAACTTATGGTCAGTGAAGAGTATGCCAACTAAGAGTGTCCCTGGCGCTTCTGGCTGTCTGTGCTCTGAGCCTCAGCCTTGCATAGGAGAGGTGACCTAGAAGCGCGACTGCACGCCCTTCCACATTTCTCTTGTGTAAGGGGGTGAACAGAAGCCTGAAAGTTTTTCTTCGGCCTGAATGAAGTTAGAAAAGCATCATAGGTTTGATCGATGGAAATTAAATGATTCGTTCCTTGTGTGTTAATCAAGCTGTGGCCGTTTGTCGGAAAGCGATACATGTAACGAGATCCTTGGCAGCTTCACAATACAGATTGGACGAGAAGACATAAGAGAAGTGTCCACGTGAACAGATTACATCCACATTGCCACCGAATCGCGCTTCAGCTGCCACATTGATTTTTCGTTTTGATTCAGACGAATTCGACGTCATATTCTGAAAACAACTGCGTATTGCCCTTTATTGATAGTGCTGAGCAATAATGCACTTAATAATGAATAAGACATTCCACGGAAATCGGATAGGCGGGACTCATTGCGTGTTCCTTGTGTGCACCCCCTATTATAGTTATAGTCCTCAACAAGCGAACCGATGGGGCGTGTCAAAGGGACGTGGGCTATGGAGCGCCGCTAACGCCTCTCCCACCAATCATTGCTCGCCTCATCTGACAAAACGACTGTTGGAGGACGAAGCCTGGCGTCCGCCCAAGAGACCATCGTCACACTGGACGCGGCGCCCGCGTCGATTAAGGCCCTTGAGGACTGTATCAGTATTGAGAGCCTCTCATGATGGGTTTACCGAAAGGTACTAAAGTCACTAAGCGTGAGCTACCAAACTAGCAACAGTTCAGCAAAGAAGACCCACATCAGGAGAAGAAGCACACTAGTGTAGGTCTTCGGTTGAAGCGTATCCGTTATTAGTCTTCACTTCCCCGCCATTCCGGCTATCCCGGAATAAGCCTTTTAACTGTAAAGCCGTTCGTATTCGTTGTGGACAGTGAGAGAAGATAGAGCTGTGTCCATACCACAAACTTCCAGCAACCAAGACAAGCTAATAAGGAGAGTAGAGTAGGGTTGTTACAGCGCAAGATTTCGCACTAGGAAGCACGGAGTGGGAAAATAGGTGGGTGTTCTCAAAAGGTTCATTTGAACGGCTGCCCTGGGTGCCGGTTCGGGAGGATCCACCTGGCGGCCGACGGTTAAACTGTGACATAGAAAATGGTTGCCTTTGGCGGCTATTGCACAGGATTTTATAGGTTTTGAGCACGATATGCTACAGTAAGCGTTTAGGTATCTAGCTTATCAAAATAAAGAATACCAATGAGCGCCTACTGCGCGTGCCTTGCGCTGGTGATTTCTTCTGACCCACATCCTTGGTTGAGTGGGTTAACGGTGGGTCATTACATTCTTGGTCGCGCACGTACCAGCAGAGTATTTCCTAGCTAGACTACTTGACGGTACTACTACTACTGCAGCATTGTCACGTTGAGTGATTTGAGGCTTTGTGCGCATAACATCGCGTCCCGTGAGCAGGTGCGACAATCTTGGCTGCGTCAGCTTCCCTTGTGCTCAATAAACTGGCAAGAGAACTTGCTCTATTACTTCACGCATTCCTGTCATTAGTAGCTATTACAAATGTGAATAATGTCTTCATTTTACAGTTAGAGGCTCGGACGAGTGCGACCGGGAGGTTTCCCCAATCAGTTTTTTTTCCGCTTCGGTCTACTTTCAGCGAGAATAATGGCCATATGCATTAGGGGTGTAACGCTTGGGATTTACGACGCGGCAGGCGGCTTTAGGAGGTGTTAGAGACTTGTTTGCTGTGAATGCTGGGACGCATCAAGGGGACTGGGTTTGGCAGCGGCGCTAGTCCAGTTTCCACGAATTGCTATCGCTTGCCCCGCTCCATTAGGTGGTAGACAATGGGCCCCAGCATCCGCAGCGAACAAGGCTGACGTGCTACTCACACCGAGACCCAGATGAGTCAAGTGCAGCAGCATATCTTCTCAACCAGTTAGAAAAGCTGTGAGTCTGCTCATCTTTGCAGCCTAGTACCAATGCCTTCATTCTGAAGTTCACCTGCTGGAGTGGGACGCTTGTGACGGCAAAGCGATCTTCATGCAAAAAAGCTTCGATACCAAAAGAGGGATTCTTTGCGTTTGTTGCGCCAGAGTAATTATTGGAGACATATCAGCTCGCCGTTTTCAGGCTCTGTACTCTACATTTCAAGCCTATTCTATGCTGTTTAAGTCAATGTGTACTGGATACCGAAATATTTACCTCAAGCATAATCCTTCGAAGAACCTGGCTGTTGCACTTCGTGCTTGCAACGGGAATAGGGGTTGTTGGGAGGAGTTGGTCCAGATTTTCTTCAGCTGCGATGGTTGACATAGGCGAGTCATCCTGAATGATCATTTTCTTGGTGTCCCAATTTTGAATGGTGTTTTCTGCATTTTTTTTATGAGATTGCTGTCACATTTCGTAGCACCACCCTTAACTCCATTCGCACCCCACGCAGATGTGATGTTCGCGTTCAGGAACTCAAAATACCCCTGGGGACAAGTTTATAG